TCGCCAGAGCCCAGCAGGTCGAGGCTGCGGTGGCCAGGAGCGGCCACTGCACTCCAGTCTGGGTGACAGAGTGAGACTCTAACTCAAAAAAAAAATTAACTATTTTAATCTCAAAAAAATAAAGACTTCAAAGCTTAATTCAAATACTCTGAAACTTTTTTAAGGTTGATGAGCATGAAGTCCTTCTCTTTTTCTTTTCCTCCTTAGCTAAGGATTTTTTCCTAATTAATATGTTTATATAGCATTTAAGTTTGTACTTTAAAGACAACAAAAATGGCATCATTCTCATTTTACAAATGAGATTACAGAGGCCTAGAAGTAACATTACTAGCAATTGGCAGAGTCAGGATGAGAATCCAGACTACTTTTTTATATCTACTTTATATTCCTCCTCCAGAGACTGAAGTTCATGATTCATTTATATGCCATAGGATTACAACTTCCTTTATATATTATACTTATGAATTATCACATTATCCTTTAGGGTAAAGATTTTGGCTTTATTTTGACCCAGTGGTATGTGATAAGAGTTCAATTCTGGTAAACTCATGATAGATTTTGCCTGAAAGACTTTTAAAATTCCTTGTATATGTCAGCAGCTTACTAATACATATACCTTTATAAATGTAAGAAGCATTAAATATTTGTTAAATATTTAAGCAAATGAATAATGCTGCATGGAAACTATGTAAGCTTAAAGTTTATGTATGCCAATGCTATGAATTCCTATTTTAAAATAATGTACCTTCCTGACAGACTACCTATTTTGTGGGAAATATACTTTGGAGATCATTTGGCAAGTAGTAAAGCAGTAGGTGAGCCAGTGAATATTCTTTATGATGTGCTATGTTGAAATTCTAACAAGTCAATCAGGCAACACTGACAGAAAAATCTAATCCTCCCTGTCTTGTTGCCTTCTACCAATCACACCCATTAAAACTTCTTCAATCAAACTACCAAAATTTTTTTTCATATCATCCATCCACAACCAAAAAAAGTACCTATTACTAAACTCCTGACCCAACATAACTACAGAAAGAGGAAAGGATACACCAATTAGATTGTAAGATAAGAGAGAGGAGACCATTGCCTTGCTAAGCTATGGTGTGGTCATGTGCTCTTTGAGTGATGGCCAGGCCATATTCTATTATGCTTTGGCCCCCTCCCCTACCTTAGGAAGGTGAATCTCCTTTTTCTCTCTTTCTTTCTAATTCATTTTTTAAATAAATTAAATTTCCTAATTAAAAACAGAAAGCGAGAGGAATAGTTAGTGAATGGATCCTGCAGAGTAATATTATATTGATCAAGAGGCAGGAAATGACTTAGAGTGAAGGGTCAAAATGTATGGAAACAGAGTTCTGAGAGTGTGTAGTGGTGGTAGCAGCAGTTGAAGGGCTTTCCAATTATTTCCAAAATCCAAAGCAAAAAACGGGGAAACTAAGTTATGCTAAGGTCAACCAATGGTCATCCCCTCGGGACAGGAAGGGGCTATAGAGAGGTCAGACTCTGAAGTTATTATTATTATTATTATTTTTGAGTCAGAGTCTTACTCTGTTGTCTGGGTTGAAGTGCAGTGGTACACTCATGGCCACTGCAGCCTTGATCTGCAGGGCTCAGGCAATTCTTCCACCTTGGCCTTCCAAGTAGCTGGAACTATAAGGGTGCATCACCATGCCCAGCTAAGTTTTCTTAATTTATTGCAGAGACAAGGTCACACCAAATTTCTCAGGCTGGTCTTAAACTCCCAGGGCTGAGGCAATCCTCTTGCCTTGGCTTCCCAAAGTGCTGGGATTACAGGCATGAGCCACCACACGCAGCAACTCTGAAGTTATTAACCGAAGTTACAATGGCAATACTATGTGAGAAGTATTGACATTAGAAGATATTTTCAGAGTTCTGTAATGAGAAGCTTTGGATGAGAAATAAGAAATTAGATAACTATTTAGGTTGGTGCAAAAATAATTGTGATTTTTACATTGTTAAAATTTCCTGTTTGATACTGTAATACATTCTTAAATAAATATGGTTATGTTATATATGTCATTTGAATGTTTATTTCTTGCTTTTTTTTGCTAATGACTTATTTTTTGCTATTTATTTTATATTTATTTTACATTATGGAAATGATGTCAGATAAAACACAAATTTGGGCAATTTTCTTATTCGAGTTCAAAATGGGTTGGTCGTAGAGGAGACAACTCGCAACATCAACAACACATTTGGCCCAGAAACTGCTAACAAACGTACAGTGTAGTGGTGGTTCAAGAAGTTTTGCAAAGGAGATAAGAGCCTTGAAGATAAGGAGTGTAGTGGCTGGCCACTGGAAGTTGTCAATGACCAATTGAGAGCAATCAACAGCCGGGCTCAGTGGTTCAGCCTGTAATCCTAGCACTTTGGGAGGCTGAGGTGAGTGGATTGCACGAGCCCGCGGGTTCGAGACCCGCCTGGGCAACTTGGCGAGACTTCATCTCTACAATAAATCAAAAAATTAGCCAGGCATGGTAGTGCATGCCTGTAGTTCCAGCTACTTGGAGGGCTGAGGTGGAAGTATCCCCAGAGCCTAGCAGGTCGAGGCTGCGGTGGCCGGGAGCGGCCACTGCCCTCCAGTCTGGGTAACAGAGTGAGACTCCAACTCAAAAAAAAAAAGAGAGCAATCATCAAAGCTGATCCTCTTACAACTACACAAGAAATTGCTGAAGGACTCAACCTTGACCGCTATACAGTCATTCAGCATTTGAAGCAAATTGGAAAGGTGAAAAAGCTTGATAAGTGGGTGCCTCACGAACTAACCGAAAATCAAAAAAATTGTCGTGTCACCTTCTCCTATTCTATACAACAATGAACCATTTCTTGATCAGATTGTGACATGCAACGAAAAGTGGATTTTATACAACAACCAGCAATGACCAGCTACCTGGGTGGACAGAGAAGAAACTCCAAAGCACTTCCCAAAACCAAACTTACACCAAAAAAAGGTCATGGCCACTGTTTGGTGGTCTGCTGCTGGTCTGATTCACTACAGCTTTCTGAATTCCAGCGAAATTCATCCAAGAAGTATGCTTTGCAAATTGATGAAGTGCACTGAAACCTGCAATGCCTGCAGCCAGTACTGGTCAACAGAAAGGGCCCAATTCTTCTCCACGACAACACCCAACAGCACGGCGCACAACCAATGCTTCAAAAGTTGAATGAAATGGGCTATGAAGTTTTGCTTCATCTGCCATATTCAACTGACCTCTCGCCAACTGACTACTACTTCTTCAAGCATCTCAACAACTTTTTGCAGGGAAAACTCTTCCACAACCAGCAGGATGCAGAAAATGTTTTCCAAGAGTTCATCGAATCCCGATACACAGATTTTACACTACAGGAATAAACAAACCTTTTTCTCATTGACAAAAATGTGTTGATTGTAATGGTTCCTATTTTTATTAATAAAAATGTGTTTTAGCTCAGTTATAATAATTTAAAATTCATGGTTAGAAGGCAATACTCTCCTTAGAATAGCTATCTAGAATAGAAAAAGCTCAAAGGAAGAAAGGTTATGGGAAGGCTTCAAGAGGTATGTCACTGAATCTGGTTCTAAGATAATGTTAGTTTAATAATAATCTCTCAAATAAAAAAACTTCATCTTATATAGACCGACAGACATTAGAGCAATAGGGTAACAATTATCCTCCAACTTAAGAAAATTAAGATCACCAGATAAAGTTCTTGCTTTCAGGGACTCCTCAGAGAATTCTAGCACAAAGTCTTTTTCTCTTGAGGTCAAAGTAGAAACAGGGTTCATTGTAGAGATCTTTTGTTCTTCTGATGTCACCTATTTAGAAAGCAGAAACAAAGTTAAAGATCAAATTCTTATTTCATTTTTTTCCTATAGTTTGAATGAATTATAGTAATCTATATTATAAAAATATTTCAAGCACATTATGTAGAGCTATGGCGGGGTTAAGAACTATATAAAACTTCTTCCAAGAAGAAGAGGATAGAATACGCTTTCTAAAATCAACAAGAATAATAGTGAAATACAGAGCATAAAACCTTTTGAATTTATGTGAAATGGGTCAGATTCTGATTTGGACCAATCTGGGTTATGAGGATTTAGTTCTGAAGATCAACTGCCATTCAAAAGGGCTCAGGCCAAATCAGATCTCATGTTTGCAGCTGTAAGGTCTAAATTCCTGCAGACTCAACAATGAACAGTTTTCTCTTATGTCTTCATGGCTGGGTTTTATCTATAGTTCATCTAAACTTTGAGATGTTGCTCCCAAATTGAGTGAACTTTTAAGATATATGTCAGACCTGAACAGTTATATAATTAATTATGTTATTCTGGTTAGGACAACATTTAATTTTGCTTCTGCTTATTCCAGAAATTAATCATCTTAAATTCTAATATGATGATCACATTTAATATATATATTTGTATAAACAGATTAGAAAAATAAAAGTTTGGAAGAAAATTCACCTAACTGTTGAGAGTGATTTTTTTATAGGAATGGGATCAGGGGAAAATGCTCTTTTACTTATAACTTCATACTCTTCTGAATGATTTAAATTTGTTAAAATGAATATGTCTGTGTATATTTTTAAAAAATAAATAATAATAAAGAGTAAAACTTTATATATAAATTATATTTCTGTATTTATTTATTTTTATTTGTTAAGAGACGAGGTCTTGCTATGTTGCCTAAGCTGGTCTCAAACTCTTGGGCTCAAGCAATCCTCCCACTTTGGCCTCCCAAAGTGTTGAGATTACAGGCATCAGCCACTGAGTCCAGCCTATATACAAATTTTAAAACACTTCCTTAGCCAGGCTCGGTGGCTCAGCCTGTAATACCAGTGCTTTGGGAGGCTGAGATGAGTGGATTGCCTGAGCCCGCGGGTTTAAGACCCGCCTGGGCAACTTGGCGAGACCTCATCTCTACAATAAATCAAAAAATCAGCCGGGCGTGGTAGCGCACGCCTGTAGTTCCACTAGTTGGAAAGCTGAGGCGGAAGGATCACTGGAGCCCAGCAGGTCGAGGTTGCAGTGGCCGGGAGTGACCACTGCACTCCAGTCTGGGTGACAGAGTGAGATTCCAATTAAAAAAAAAAAATTTTTCTTAATTAGCTACTAGGTTTCAGGTGCTATGCTTAGAACTAGATGTGAAAATGAATACTCATGGTCCTTGGACTCAAGGAGTGAAGTCCAGTGAAAGATACAGATAAACAAATGGGAAATTACAATACAATCATCACCATAATAATAGTTGTACTATATTACTGAGTTCTTACTATGTGCCAGAGGCTGTTCTAAGCACTTCATGTTTTTAACTTATTCAATCTTTACCAAAATCATATGAGGTGGGCACTCTTATTTTCCTCCTCTTACAGCTGGGGGAATTGAGAAAAAGAGCAGTTAAGCAGCTAAATTTGCTCAATTTATCCAGTTTATAAGCAGCACAGTTAACAGTAACAGTAATAGGCAATACTTACTGAGTATAGTATTCACCCTGTTTCATACAACATTCTTCCTATAACTTGCCAGAGTTATTTCTGAAATATGAGTTCAATTATTTCTCTCCCTCCAATGGCTCTCAATCTTAAGTACAAGGCAGCTCTTACAGTGTCCTATGCAGCCAGCCCTACCTGATCAGCCCATTACCACTGTTTGACCTTAGTTCCTATCACTATTCCCCTCATTCATTCACTCACTATGTGGCCGCCTCCTTTCTGTTCAACAAAGACAATTTGTTTACCATCTGTCTCTCTTCACTGTAGTATCAGTTTTAGGAAGGCAGGATTTTGCCTGCTTTACTCACAGGCTTATTTCTAGCACCTGGAACAGTGTAACATTCAGTAGTTGCTTAAGAAATATTTGCTGGGCTGGGCTTGGTGGCTCACTCTGAAATCCCAGCACTTTGGGAGGCCGAGGCGAGTGGATTGCCTAAGCCTGAGGATTCGAGACCCAGCTGGGCAACTTGGTGAGACCTTGTCTCTACAATAAATCAAAAATTAACTGGGCATGGTAGCACACGCCTGAAGTTCCAGTTACTTGGAAGGCTAAGGTGGAAGGATCGCCTGGAGCCCAGCAAGGTTGAGGCTGCGGTGGCCAAGAGTGTGCCACTGCACTCCAGTCTGGGCGACAGAATGAGACTGGAACTCAAAAAAGAAAAAAAGAAAAGAAAAAAAAAAAATCTGCTGAATGAGTGACTGACTAAATATGTTTAACTTTTAAGGAATTTGCTGCATACATGATCTCCACTTTCTTACCGCTCATATTTCTTAATCCACTCTAAACTAATTTCTACCCTATTTCATTGAAACTTCTCTTGCCAACATCACCATTGACCTCCAAGTTGCAAACTGAAATGGACATATTTCTGTCCTCATTTTATTGGATGTCTCAACAATAATTGACATAACTAACCCTTTCCATCCCAATTCTTGAGAATGGAATATAACCCACTCTCTTCTCTCTCTACACTCTCTTTAAATGAACCCATCCATTCTCATTGCTTTAAACTTTTCTTTGTGCAAATGACTACACAAACATTTCCTCTGAACCAGATCCATGTACCCAACTTCTTACCTAACACTTCTAATTGACTGAATCACAGGTATTCTTTATTTACTCCTATTTATCACCAAACCTGTTCCTTCCTGCTATGGAATGAATTGTGTCCCCACAAAAACTATATGTTGAAGCTCTAACTTCCAGTGTGTACCAATATTTGGAGACAAACCCTACAGGAGATAACTAAAGTTAAACAAGTTCATAAGGGTGCGGCCCTGATCTGATAGAATTAGTGTCCTTACAAAAAGAGACATCACAGAGTTCTTTCTTTCTCCCTCCCTTTTCGAGTATACACACTAAGAAAAGGCTATGGGAGGACATAGGGAGAAGGTAGTCATCTGTAAGCTATGAAGAGAGGGCTATCAGAAACTAAATGGGCTGGAACCTTGATCTTGAACTTCTAGCCCTTCCGATTATAAGAAAATAAATTTTTGTTGTTTAAGACACCAGCCTGTGGCATTTTCTTATGGCAACCTAACAAACTAATATACTTCCCCATCTTACTCTACTCAGTGAAAACCACCTCAGTCTACCTAATTGCTAAGTCAGAAAGCCAGGAGTTTGTCTCCTCCATTTCTCTCGCCTACTCCTTACATCTAATCCAGCAATACCTACATTTCTACCTCCAAAACTTATCTTAAACCCATCAACTCCTCTATACTTTCAATGCCACAATCCCTACTTCGAGTCACTACCACCAAAGGCTCCTGCTAACTAGTTTCTCTGCTTCTACCACATTGCCCACCCAATTTTTGCAGCCAGCAAAAACTTTTAAAATATAAATTAAATCATGTCACTTTCTGCTTCACCCCTCAGTGATTTCCCAGTGGCACACAAAATACAAATTCTGACCCTGGTCTAAAGACTCTATGTATGGCCGAGCTTGCCCATCCAATCTCATTTAATTGTAACTTTCTCTTTCACTCACTACAATCCAGATACTTTGGCCTTCTCTCATGTCCTCAAACCCACCCAATTCTTTTCCATCTCAGGGCATTTACACATGCTGTTTCTTTGCTTTTTTTTTTTTTTTTTTTTAACTGCAAAAACCTTTATTTTTATTTGGTCCAGGGCTGTTAAAAAGCTCCCAGTGGCTGGAGGGGGAGGCTCTGGCAGAAGAAGCCCTGATACTTTGAGAGGGGCCCCCCCAGAGGCCGCTGGGCTCCTAGTCGTGCTTGAGGGTGAGCCTTTCGAAGAGATACTCGCCCAGCCCAGACTCAGGCTGGGTCAGCCTGCGAAGGTTGGTCAGGTGGTCACCCATCTTCTTGATGAGTTTCACCTCCTCATCTAGGAAGTGGTTCTCCAGGAAGTCACAGAGATGGGGGTCTGTGGATCCCAGGGCATGAAGGTCCAAAAGGGCTTGGTTCAGGCTCTTCTCTAAGGCCATGGCGGCTTCCATGGCATCCAGGGTTTACCCCACTCATCTTGAGAGGGCTTCTGGATATCCTGGAAGAGGGCGCGGCCGCCACGCTGGTTTTGCATCTTCAAGAGACGCTCGGCGCCCTCGTGCTTCTCCTCCGCCAATTCGCGGAAGAAGTGGCCCACACCTTCCAGAGCCACATCGTCGCGGTCGAAATGGAAAGCCCAGAGAGAGGTAGGTGTAGGAGGCCCATAGATGCAAATTGACCAGGCGGTTGACGGCTGCCTCCACCTCGGTGGAATAATTCTGGTGAACCTGGGAGCTCATGGTTGGTTGGCAAAAAGGAGCTAACTGCAAAAACGGTGGTCGCTGGTCCCAGAAACAGGTGGCCGAGAAGTTGGTCTCGGAGGTTGCAAGTAGAGAGGAGATCGGAGGGCAGTGGGAGGCTGGAAGAGAGGGAGTCCCTGGGTCTGTTCCGTCCAAACACTGTTGAAGCAAGAGACAGATCCGCGGGACCGCCGAACGCGCTGCCCCTTTGCATATTATACTCTTCCCTCACCATTGCTATTGCTGGAAAAGCCTTGCCTTTAAAGTAAATCCCCCTGTACTTTCACAGCTTTTCTAAACAGAAATTATCTCAATTTATTTATTTGTTTGTCTTCTGATTAAAATCTCTCTCCTGTGCTGACCTTTAAGGACACAGATCATATCTACATTGTCCATCAATCTATATCCAATCTTATAAGTCTTCTGATTTACAGCAAGTGTTAAAGAAATATTGATGTGTTCTTATTTATTCAAAAATTTTACACACAGTAAAATTTCACAGTCTATTTCATATGTGTTCTGTATATTTCCAATAAAGATTATGCCTAGGCAAAAACAAACATCAATTGTTACT